TGGATTTTTCAACCCCATGTGGGTTTGTGAGAACATGCACTAGGAGACCAGATCAACACTGTCATATTGCCTGCATTGATCTAGCACAGTGTTTATGTGGACTCCAGCCACCATTCATTCCTTCTCCAGCATCCAGAGGCTGCAATGGATTATTTTACACATAGTCATGATAGTACTTAGCTGTTGCATTGCGTGTGCAAGGCATTTTATAGAGCAGGCCAACATAATTACTGCCATTTTGCAGCTGGAAAACAGAAGTGAGGATACTCAAAGTGCTCTGCCAACCTCCATGAGCCCCATAGCAGCCATGGGGCTGGGAGGAGGATCCCACTGCCCAGCACAGGGCCCTGACAGATGCTGCTTGCCATGGGACAGGGCTGTGAGGAGTCCTGTGACCGCAGGGTGCCTCCAGAGACACGTGATGCAGCCCCAAGTCCACACCATGGGGAGCACTTTGTCTCCAAACCCAGTTGCTTGGCCAAGAGCCACAGAGCAGTGTGTACAAAAGGGAAGCTCCTACGCCATCCCTCCCTTGGCTGCCTTCCATTTTGGCAAATCCCACCACCGAGACTTGCCTGGGGCCTCTCAGGTGTCTTGTCTCCATAAACCTGTGTATAGGACTGGATGGGCTCCTGGAATCTGTCTCAGCCCTGCCTTCCGTGCTGGAGGTATTGACATTGACCCCCTTCCACCTGGCCCCACACAAGGCACAGCAAGGAATCCAGCAGGCAAGCTTGTTGGGAAAGGTGTTTTGGCAGGTTTTAAAGTGAAATACAGGCCATCAGAGAGATGTGAGGTGAAGTAAGCACCGTTTCTGGCCCTCCTGCACTCGCAGAGCCTTTAGGCAGCTGAAAATGTAAGAAATACTTGAAATTATAAAAATTGAAGAGGCAGTTTGGTGGCTCATATTTCTTACAGTACATGAAATTCCAGTAGGTCACTGGCTGGGCAAGGTGTATAAAATGTAATCCCTGTGCAGACCATAAATATTTTGTCTGTTGCCAGCAATAGGAGGGAAAGAGGGAGACGGGATTTCATGATGACTGGGGCTGTAATTTCCCACAGATATTTGATGCTTTGCTCGCACCTTCGCTGTATGTGAAGCCAGGGGTTAGCAGTGAGGAGCGTCACTAAGATGATCAGAAGGCTGGAGCACCTCTCCTATAAAGAAAGGTTGAGGGAACTGGGCTTGTTTAGCTTAGAGAAGAGAGGGCTGCAGGGAGACCTCATTGTGGCCTTCCAGTGCTTGAAGGGAGTGTATGAACAGGAGGGGAACGGCTGTTTACATGGGTTGATAGTGATAGAACAAGGGGGAATGGTTTTAAACTGAGACAGGGGAGGTTTAGGTTAGATATTAGGAGGAAGCTTTTCACTCACAGGGTGGTGACGCACTGGAACAGGTTGCCCAAGGAGGCTGTGGATGCTCCATCCCTGGAGGCATTCAAGGCCAGGCTGGATGTGGCTCTGGGCAGCCTGGTCTGGTGCTTGGTGACCCTGCACATAACAGGGGGGTTGAAAAACAAGATGATCATTGTGGTTCTTTTCAACCCAGGCCATTCTATGATTCTGTGATTCTATGAATGACTGTATGACTGCTGAAAGCACACTGGTTCTGTTTGGAAACTGCAGTGGGTTTGTGTTAGAAGTCTGCTCCTTCATGGAGCTCCCACACGGCCATCCCATGGCACATCAGGGCCTGTGGTGCAGTGGAATGGGTGATGAGACACAATGTCCGGCAGAGCTGGGCAATGTCACGTCTTAATGCATGGTGCTCCCTACTGCTAGCTTAAAAAAAAATAATAAAAAAAAATCCAAGAAAAAGTCTTCAAAAACAAAAAGAGGTTTCTATAATAGATGGTCATATTTACCATTTGAATATCTACACATTTTTAACACCCCCTCATCCATCCCATGTGTCCAGGCATGGTTTGTTGTTGAGCCTGATGGTGCGCTACAGGAATGTAAGTGCTCTGCAAGGAAGAGCACTGACAGCAAAACGAGCTTTGCTGGGGACAGTTCTTATTAATTTTGAGGCTTTTGTTGTTGTTGGCTGATTTATTTGCAGTCATTTCAGCAGTCCTTTTGGTTGCTTAAGGAACGAACAGAATGCTGTAATGTTAAAAAAAAAAAAAAAAAGATGTAATCTGGTTTTTAAGTGAACTGTGAGGAAAACATGCAAAAGGAGTTGCAAGCATTAGGGACAATGAAAATAGAATGGTACAATATTGCTCAGTTCCTTAAACCTTATCTTACGCCAAACATGCCTGGTTTTTGTTTTCTTTATTTAAGGGATGAGTTGTTGGAACAAAAAAAACCCTCTTTGTATTAAAATGACTTCTTTGTGTGCTTCTCCTGCAGTTTGCCTGCAAGACAGCAAGTTCCTCTTAGTATTAGGGCATGGCATCTGCCTCTCATCTCAATGGCTCTGTGCTGCTGGGGGCTCCAGAGACCCTCCAGAACCAGAAAGAGCCCCTGACCACGAGGTAACTTCCTGGGGGCTGCTTTTCTCCTCTCTGTCAGTCCTGAACTGCCACATATTAAGAGGTGCTGATGGACAGATGGGGAGAAATGATCACTTAAAATGCAGAGTGAGTTAAACTATTTCTGTCCTCCCTACCGCAGATCAATGCAGCAGTCACTGCTGATCTCCAGCATGTATGTTGCTTTGTGTTTCATCTTGAAATTGTTTTCTAGCTTACCTGTACATTTGTCCCTGTTGCAGTCTTGGTGTGTCTGGGTGGGAATGGAAATTCCCAGTGGCAGAGCACTGCCGTTCCCTGTCTCTGTGCTCAGGGAAGCCTGCTGTTCCTGTTTCCTTTAGTTCTGATCAAAACATAGCATGTATGTATGAACTGACTGCACATAAAGCATGCAAACGCTGTTACGCTGTATGGGAGGGGTGTAGAGAATCGTGAGAAGCAACCAGAGCCACTGGCTGGAGGAGAGCTCCGTGTATCCTGCTTGGCTCTGTTTGCTTTCAGTGCTGCCTGAGAGGAAGTGATGTTGGTCCAGGCCACTAACAAAGGTTGGGAGCATCTTTTTACCCTCTACATTTGCAGCAAAGAAAACCTTAGGGCAGGTGCTGGGAGGGCTGTTCCTGGCAGCAGTGGACTCTTAAACAGACCATGCCTCGTGGGCCTTCACTCCATCCCCAGCACTGTCTCTGCTCTTGCAGCCGCCAGCTGCAGAGCCACAAGGCACTGAGTGACCACAGAGTACTCTTTCCCCTGGCATCATCTCCCCACTTCTGGCAAACAGCTGTTGAGAAGCCAGAGAGCTGAAGATCGCGTGTGCATCATCGTGTTTAATAGTCACCAGTGGTCTTAGCCAGCAGGAACGTGTCAGCTCTCCCTCAATTCACTTCAGCTTTTGGTTTCCAACAAAAAACAAAGGAATCTGGCACACGATGGTGGCACAGGATGGCCTGCTCTGGGGCTGCTTCCCCAGCTCCCACTGCAGTGCAGCCTGCAGGCAGCTCATGGGCTGGGGAAGGAGAGAGAAAGCTCTGTGCCCCTCACTGCTCTCCCCACACCATCTCATTCCTGTTCGCTTCCATTTGCCCTGAGCACCTTCCTAAACCATGCTTCAATTTACTTCTTTCAGAGCTCATGCTGGCACTTATCATCCCCTGCGGGTACTTCATCAGCTCCTGCCTGAGCTCTTTGCTCTGTCCATGGAGAAATGATGCCCATGGCCCCAACTAGTGGAAAATCACCAACCCCTAGCTGGCATGTAAGGAACCTTTCTCTGTGGTGGATGTGTCTGGTAGGCAAATGCCTACTCCCAGGCCGTGGGGAGCGGCTGAGGGCCCCGGGTTTGCTCAGCCCAGAGCAGAGGAGCTGATGGGAGGCCTGGTGGCGGCTGCAGCTCCTCACAGGGAGCAGAGGGCAGCGCTGAGCTCTGCTCTGTGTGACAGCGACAGGGCCTGAGGGAACAGCATGGAGCTGCGTCAGGGGAGGGCAGCTGGGGGTTAGGAACAGGGTCTGCAGCAGAGGGTGGTGGGCATGGAACAGAACGCCCAGGGCTGTGGGCACGGCCCCGAGTGCCGGGGTTCAAGAAGCTTTGGAAACCGCTCTCACACAGGGTTTGATTTTTGGGTGGTGCTGTGTGGAGCCAGGAGTTGGGGTCCCGGCTGAGCACGAGGGCACAGCGCTGTGCAGAAGCGTACGGGCACGCTCAGGCGAACAGCACTGTTGGAGCAGCTGGAGGCCGAGCGGAGTGCTCTGCGGGGCTGCGGACAGCAGAGGGCTCTGCTGCGGGGCGCTCGCGGTGCCAGCCCCGAGGTGCCGCTGCTCCGTTCGCAGGGCTTTGCTCACGGCGGGGCCTCCCGGCCCGCGCAACCGCCATCCCCGCCGTGCCGTCCTGCAGAGCAGTCACGCCACTGCACCGGTGCCCGAGGCAGCTCGACCACTTCGGCTGCGTCCGCGTGCTGCCGTTAGCGCGTTCACAGCACAACCTGCAAACTAGCAGAGCGGAGCGCGGGGGGGTCCCGCCTCGTCCCAGAGGAACGCCGCCGGCGGCCGCGCCTCCGTCCCGTGAGCAGCACCCCATCCCCGCACCGCGCTGCGGCTCCGCACCCCTCGGAAGCGAGGGGTAGAGTTGAGGGGCGGGGCCTTGGAGGCCGGAGGCGCCGCCCCATTGGCTGCGGAGTGCGGCGCTTTCCATGCCCCCGCCCTCCACGCCGTCCTATTGGTGGAGGGCCGGCGGCGCTTTGCATGTACCCACCCAGCCTTCCCCCCCCGCCGCCCGGCGCTGCGCTGCGGTGCGGGTCGGGCCGGCGGCGCAGTGCAGGAGCCGGGCCGGCAGCGGTGTGCGGGCAGCACCGGGAGCAGCAGCAGCAGCAGCAGCAGCAGCAGCAGCAGCAGCAGCAGCGGCACTCCGCGGGCTGGCGGCGCTGGGAGCACGACAGCGGGCTGCCCCACAGGGCTCGACGCTCCGCCTCGTCCCCGCCGGCCGCCGCACCCCGCCCGGGTCCCGCGGGTGCAGCATGAAGCGCGGCGATGATGGCACGGCGGGGTAAGACGGCGGCGCGGACGCTGGAAGACCTGACGCTGGACTCCGGCTATGGTGGAGCGGCGGACTCGGTGCGCTCCTCCAACTTGTCGCTGTGCTGCTCGGATTCGCACCCCACGTACCCCTATGGAGGAAGCTGCCGGCCGCACCTAACTGACTCCATGCACAGTCGCCACAACAGCTTCGACACCGTCAACACCGTCCTAGCGGAAGATTCCGAGGTGCTGGACTGCGCGGGGCAGCACTGCTCCCGGCTCCTGCCCGACCTTGAGGAGGTCCCCTGGAGCCTGGAGGAGGTGGAGGCGCTGCTGCAGCCGCCGCAGCCGCGCCGGGATCCGCGGGCGCCGGGCGGCGGCGGCGGCGCGGCGGGGCGGGATGCGGCGGCGCGGCTGTCCACGCTGGTGAGCCGCGCTCTGGTGCGCATCGCCCGCGAGGCTCAGCGCCTCAGCCTGCGCTTCGCCAAGTGCACCAAGCACGAGGTGCGCAGCGCCATGGAGATCGTGCTGGGCTGGACGCTGGCCGCCCGCTGCACGGCGGCCGCTCTGGGAGCCCTCTCGCTCTACAACATGAGCGGCAGCGGAGGGGACCGCTTCAGCCGCGGCAAGTCGGCGCGCTGCGGGCTGGCCTTCTCCGTCGGCAAGTTCTACCGCTGGATGGTGGACAGCCGCGTGGCCCTGCGCATCCACGAGCACGCCGCCATCTACCTGACGGCCGGCACCGAGAGCCTCTTCCGCGACATCCACGCTCGGGTGCTGGCCGGGACCGGGCCCTCCGCCCCGCTGCCGCCGCCCGGCCGTACCACCCCCGCTGCGGCCGCCGGCCCGGCCGAGAGGGAGAAGGAGGGCGCCGAGGGGCCGCGCTTCACGCTGGAGGCTCTGGAGCAGACGGTCAACAACGACCCCGAGCTGTGGGGGCTGCTGCAGCCCTACCAGCACCTCATCTGCGGGAAGAACGCCAGCGGTGAGTGAGAGCGAGCGGCCACCTGCTGCGCCGGGTAGCGGCGGGGGGAGCGGGGCCGGGAGGGGCCGCCGCCGCATCGCCCCAGTCTGCATCCTGCCGTCAGCCGCTCCGCGGCACCGCGCCGCCCCGCGCCGAGTCCGTGCCGGGCGGCGTTGGGCGCCCGGAGTTTTCCACGGGAGAAACGGCAGCAGCGCAGCGGAGCGGTCGGAGCGAGCAAACTTTGCTCCCCCGGCAGGCAGCGGTTTGGCCGGGCGCTGCGCGCTGGCACGCAGGCTTTCTGCACGCATCTCCGGCGTGTTGCTGCTTGTTTACCCGGCGCTTGACACGGCGGTGCACCGACTTCGCGGGGGTTTCTGTGTTGTTTATCTTCGTTCCCGAGCGAGAGGGTGGTTGGGGGGTGATGCCTCGAAGGAGCGCCGTTCGGTAAAGCAGGACTCCAAAGTTGACGTTCCTCACGCTGCTCGGTGAGGGGGGAGCGCGGCGGCAGCCCGCAGCCGGCTCGGGAGCCGCGGTCGGAGCTGGTGTTGTTCTCCTACGTATCAGCATGCACGGGCACATCGGCTCCCATACAAAACAGCTGTCAAGCCGAGATGCAAATGTCAGAGCAAAAGAAACCGGGAAAACGAGGAGAACTGGAAGCGCAGAGCAGGTTAACCCTGCCGGGGTGCCAGCGGAGGTCGGCCCATAGCCATTGTCTTCCTTCCCCACAGAGACCCAGGGGGAGGATGCTGCCTGCAAGTAAAGGGGTGAATCCACCCCTTCCTCCCCCTCCCCGGTCTAAATAGCGGTGTCCCCGCAGCGTTTGCCCCAGGGTGCCCTCCTCAGGGCCGTGCCCAGCGTCCCGTGGGGACGCGCTCGCCGCAGGATCCCCCGGTGCTTTGGTGGTATGGCCACAGGCAGGCGGGCAGCCTTCCCCGAGCGCCCCTTGTCCTCCCGTCCCGGTGCTCTGCCCGCAGGTTTCAGGCGTTGCCACTCTGGCGTTGCAGCACCGGCTCCTATCGAGGCAGTTCCTATCGCGGAGCGGCTCCCGCTGAGCCGTTCATTTTGGTTTGCGGAGTTGTGACACCCTCTGTATCAGCCTGGGGGATTGACGTGAACTTCAGCCTGCCCTCATCCGTTTCCCTCCAGGGACATGATTCAGACTTTTCGTCTCCATTTTGTTGCAGCTTTACCTGGCACAAATCTCAGCCCTGTCTTGAGCAAATGGCATTTTTTGAAGGTGTTTGAGCCGGACCCCAGCAAGTTGTCCATTTTGTTTTGTCTCTCCTGGTGTCATTACGTTTCCCATGCAGTATGACTGTAATGCTGTTTTAGCTCCTTATGAAATGCGATTTGACGTTCTCTTATGTGTATTTGGAGTTACAGGTGAAAAAAAGATTCAGGCCTTCTTATAAAAAAAGCCATTTTTTATTGCTGTTTACATTCTGTGCTTCATAACCCAAGTATTTCCATGGCAGCTAAAGCAGACATAAGTCTTTAAAGTCATTGTGCTGCTCCTTCATCGGGGAGAGAGGCATCTGGTTATCGAGCCCTCACCATGCTGATGTCTGAGTGTTCAGCGGTTGCTTGTGAATGTTTCCTTCCCAAGCACTTGAAAGGGGGGAAAGTCTGATGGGAGAATTATCTGACCTGCTCAGAACTCTTGGGAAATCTGTGATAGGTTGCTAGAAGAACTGGAAGCCACGTCTCCATATGATGGCATAACCACAAGCTGTTCATCCTTCCTCTATGCTCAGTGCTTGAAAGACTGCAACAAACAGGCTGCCCAGGGTGGTGGTGGGGTCACCATCCCTGGAGGTGCTCCAAAACTGTGTGGATATGACACTTAGGGACGTGGTTATGGGCACAGTGGGGATGGGTTGATGGTTGAACTAGATGGTCTTTGAGGTCTTCTTCAACCTTACTGATACATGACTCTATGAAACAGCATGTAGCAGGCTTCTCCTGATGTCTCCGTGGACTGTTCCAGGGAAAGAGGCAGGTCCTTGTGCACTGAAGGGTTGGTGAATTGGGTAGCATGTGGGCATGCAAACATTGGATTGGGTTGACTTGGTCCATTGGACATGGATGGATGGCAATCACAGGTTGAGTCTTTTCCAAAGGTACCATAGCCAATATTTTTTGAGTGGGCATAAAAGGAAAACAGGGCAAAAGCAGACCCCCAAGCAATTATTGTTCCGCTCACAGTTTTGGTAGGGAGAGGTGGTGCCATCTCTGCCAGGCAAATGTCAAACCACAAAAACATCTCTAGGTTAAATTCAACATCTTGAATTCTGACGGGACTGTGAAATGGGCAGCCCATGAAGATCACAGGATACAAGTATGAGATGCACATGATTGGAGCATGAAGCAGTCAGAGGCTGCTTGAATACAGGCTGTGAGTGCGGGTGTTGGGGCCCGTGGTCTGAGGATCTGAAAGGCACAACTATTCAGCCTATTACAGGGTTTCCCTGTCAGCTGTGCTGAGCACTTAGTGGTTACAGCTGAGGCTTTTTACTCTTGTATCATACCCAGTCATCTTGGAAGCTGCTGAATAAGATCGGTATTGCAAGAGAACCCTCTTCTTCCCATAAACGATGGTCATGCGCCTTCAGATGAGGATGTTGTTCTGGTAAGTGTGTCAGCCCACTGCGTTTGTCATGGGTATATATCTGTGGAGATCCTGCAGCTGCCTTGGCATGAGCCATGCTCTCATGCACCGTGGTCATGGGTTCTCATGCAGGGCTGGAGGTTCATGGATGAAGGTACAGGGATTAAGCTCTTTGCACAGAGAGTGGTGAGGTGCTGGCACAGGCTGCCCAGAGAGGTTGTGGCTGCCCCGTCCCTGGAGGTGTTCAAGGCCAGGTTGGATGAGATCCTGGTCAGGCTGGTCTATATTAGATAGGTTGGTAGCCCTGTTTGTGGCAAGGGTTTGGAGATTCGAGATCCTTGAGGTCCCTTCCAACCTGGGCCATTCTGTGATTCTGTGGAGGTGATGGATTTGATTAATGCTTTGCGGTCCAAATCCCCATCTCCTTCACAAGTCTTTTGGCAAACTCTTCTGTGATACAGGAGTAGGAATGGGAAAACAGGATTAGGTAGTAGCACCAGGAACAGGCATCAGGCATCTCCGCTGAGTTATCCTAGTTACTATATCAGAAGGAATAGACCTCAAAAGCACTCTGAGGTAGTATTTTCTTTTTCCTGCACAACCAGAATTTTAATGCCGCGCTTGAATGAAAATTAAAAACTTTACGCTTGGGATTTCATTGGCTCTCAAATGTTTCAGTTATGAGCTCCGTCTGAACAGTGGAGTACACATTTACATCCCATAGCAATCACATGGAGTGTTATTTTCCTTGAAATAGGGGGAACAAAATATTGTATACTCAATAAAAGGAGTAAGAAGTAGCACCTCTGTGGCTTAAGCTGCATTATTATTTTTTCTCTATTGCTCCTGAAACCCCTACTTTTATGCCAGATCTCAGAGCTGCTTTGGGGGGAGGTTTTTTCAGCTCTTGAATCCAGCACAAAGAACAGGAGTATGTCCATGGGAAAGCTTGGAGGGGCAGTCCAACTGGCTGAAGTTATCTGTCTGATAAAGCTATTAGGCAAAGTCTAAATTCATAGTCATAGAATGGCTTGGGTTGGAGGGACCTCAAAGATCACTAGCTCCACCACCCCGCCGTGGGCAGGGGTTTAGCAAACAGACTGTTTCTGTCCAAGTCTTGGGGAGTCTCATTATTTGCTGCAAAGATGTTATTGAGCTTGTCTTCCCACTTCAGCATCTGAAGGAGGTGCTCAGGTTGAGGTTGGTGTGGAATATCTGTGCACATGCTTTGGATGGGATAGGAGGGCTGAGGAAAGGTGAGCAGGGTTTTGTGGAGCAGCCAGCGTGCATAGCTAGCCTTCATCTGTTTGTGTACAGCTCCTAAAAATAGTTATTTGGAACACAACTGTAGCGCTGTGGTTTCATCCTATTCTTAATATTATTTAGAGAGAAAGTCACAACAAGTTGGAATAAACCAAGGATTAGGTCAGGCTTGGCTGACATGTGCCAGCTAACCTCAGTTTAACCTCAGCCTCTCCTCATCCAGGGAAGCTAGCGGGACTGCAAGCAAATGAGACAGACTGATTTATTAGCACGGCTTAACCAAGCCAGTTAATGCTTATAACTTCTGATACACACACGTGTGTACAGGGGCTGTTCCCTTCGCTTACTGGCGAGCGCACCGTGTCAGTTGGTTACTTCTTTCTGTTGTAATCGAACCGTGTGAGTGGTGAGATGCTATCATGGTTCTGGGGGTGATATAAAAATCCATCTAAAACTGATTTCGGGTGCTGACATCAGTAGTGGTGCAACGCATGAGATGTGGTTTTACTTAACTGACAGCCTCCTGTGCAGCCTTCCATGGCCGTGGGAGGAGTGGGGCTGGGACTGGAGGTGGAGGCCTGGCAGGGGGCTGCTGACTGACTGCCTAATGAAGGGCTGTTTCCCTCTGGACATTTTTATTCATGTAATTTGTTTTGGTAATGAGAGCAGCTTGAAGGAAAAAAAACCAAAAAATAACCAAAAAACCAAACCCGCAACAGAAATGATTCTACTAGAAACACCTTAGTGCTAAAGCATAAAGATGATGTATGACGATGTAATTATTCCCTTTATCGTATTGGAAAGTACCTTGGCAGCAGGGAGTTTTAGTGCTGTGGCTATAGCACTTTGCCTCTGATGTAAACGAGACTTCAGGGCTGTGATGCAGAACCAAGGTAGGGGAATAACAGTGTCCCTTGAGCAGCCCAGTGGTTTCCTGACTTTCTGTCTGAGGGGCAGCATGCCTCCGCCTTTTCTCCCTCATCCTGGAAGGGGAAATGGTTCTCTTTTCTGGAAAGCTTTATGGCTTTCCCAGTGGCAGTGGGAAAGGGCAAAGTTGTACTCCACTGGGTCACAGAGGAAGAGAGCCTGTTCCCTAAATGTGGGTGCTAAGAATTAACTCCTCTGCTGGGAGTGATTTCCTCCAGCC